AACAGGAGATAGAGTCCATTCATATGGTACGCAGAGTACAGAACAGGATAGTGTGTACAAGCAGTTAAACAAACCGTCCTAGGGGGTTGGCCACAGCACAAGGCACAAGTACCACCAGAAGTTGCTGCATATTACCAATGGAGGGATGAACTATGTACACAGGATGGAATTCTGTTCAAGGGAGACATGGGAATAGAGTCATGCCTGAGGGGAGCATGGGAGTCCATCTACTGGCCAGGCATGAATGCCCATTTGAGAACATACATAGAACAGTGTGAGGTGTGCAAGGAATACAGTGACAAACAGCAAAAAGAGACATTGAACCCTCATGACATCTCCTCTCGACCCTGGAAGAAGGTAGGGACTGACTTGTTCGATGGCAGTGACAGAAACTATATGGTCACCGTAGACTACTATTCCAGTTTTTGGGAGGTGGATAACCTTACCAAGCTGAAGGTTCATTTTGCGCAGCATGGGATACCTGACACTGTTATCAGACAATGGCCCACAATACACCACAAGAGAATTCAAACAATTCTGCACTAGATGAGAATTCCAGCACAAGACATCATCCCCTGGGAACCCACAAAGCAATGGGAAGGCTGAATCAGCGGTAAAGACAGCCAAGAGACTCTTGTTGAAGGCAAATAAGACTGCATGGGATCCCTACCTGGCTCTATTGGACCATTGCAACGCACCCTCCCAAGGAATGGACAGTAACCCAGCCCAAAGATTAATGGGTTGGACTAAGACATTACTCCCCATGAAAGACCGTTTGCTATAACCCCAGGGGGAAAGGGGCGACAGTACATGAAAAAAGTAACAGTCTCAGCAAGTATCACAGTATAACAAAGGAGCCAGGGATCTGAGACCACTGTGCAGAGGGGAAAGGTCTGGGTTCAGCCAGTACGTCCACATGTGAAAGAACGGCAAAAGACCACGGTCGAGGGTGCAGTGGGAGATGGGTCCTGCGAAGTGGTCACAGTCAGTGGACAGCGACTGAGACGCACCCGGAAGCAGCTGCAGAGAGCTGGCAGAGCGGAAATACAAGCGATCCCAGGATCGGGACCAAGGCAACTGTGACAGCTGGTCAGTCATCAGTGAGCCCCAGGTAGGGCAGAAACACACCACGGACTCCACAAAGGAGAGACACACAAGCGGAGTCCAGCCCGCACAGCAAGGACACGGACAGAGCGGAAGCAGGCCTCGCCCCCAGGAAAATCAACCGAGCAAGAAGCGGGCGGCTGGTACAGCGACCAGCACGCCTGGGTGACTACGAGCCCTAAAGAGCACAGCAGGCCAGCGGTAAAGGCTCGCTCTCCACGGTGGGCTGTGTGCTAGCAACCTCTGCCCCACCCAGGGGAATAAGTTAATCATCTGTTTTGAACGGTTGAAAGGAAATATTTGAACACTCGTGGCGCACGGGCCAAGTCCCGGAGGACTGGAAAAGGGCCAATGTGGTCCCCATTTTCAAGAAGGGGAGGAAGGAGGACCCGGGCAACTATAGACCAGTCAGTCTCACCTCCATCCTTGGCAAAGTCTTTGAAAAAATTATCAAGGCTC